ACCCGTTGTGTCAATGATGTCAATTAGCTTAGGCTTTCCATCAGTAGTGATCTACAGAAAATGTGGGGAAAAAATTATTTTTTTAAATCCTTCCAACTACTACAGACTCACGTTAACACTCGAGACAATTTAAGTTTACAGCTAAGTGAAGACTCTAAAATGCAGACACAGGGAAACACTGATATAGAATGTGTCTTGTGACAGATAAAAAAAATCCATCAAAAGTAAACAGATTCAAGCCAAAAAGCCGTCATGGACAACTCGGAGTCTACGTCTGGCAGACCAACTCGCATTTGTATTCAGCTTATACATCGGGTCTGTTGACTGGAATGAAACAACTTTGAGGGGGAAAAAAACGTGTTTCAGCAAAAAGCATGTTTCAGCAATATGACTGAAGACCGATTGATGACAGGGGACAAAAAAATAGTTATCCTTCTGAACCATCGTGATATGAGAAAGGCAGGAACACGTAGATTCTTCTTCCTCCGATCAGAGAAGAACTTTCACCACATTCGCTGCAGCGGGAAGATGTGAAGTGTGGGTACCACATGCAGGGCTCCGTAACAAAAAATTCTTAGCTGGCTTCAGTCTCATAACTCATAAAGACACATCAATAAACATACACTAAAAGACAAACGAATACGATTGAAAAAAATAATCTGAAAACTGTTTAAAAATGTGGTTTTTCCACGCTCGGTAATCTGCAAATCACACTGACACTTGTGTGGCATGCCGGCTCCGGCTGCTGCGGTCTGTCAGCGAGTTACTAGCCAGCTTCCTACAGATGGATGCGGTGCAGGAAGAAATACTTGCTGGTTTATTTAAATATGTTCACAAAAGCTACAAAAAATACAGACAGCCCTTTATATGCAAACAAGACTAATTCACCAGTCATATTCGTTTATAGATACGAAACGGGTCACAAAGAGGTAACTTACTAAGGAAGCAAAATGACAGAATAAAGCCGTTAATAAAGGCCTCGGGGTAAAACGGACACGGGTCGACGTGCCACTTTCCACCCGCTAACTTCCACAAAACACCCCGGAGGGCCTGTGCTTCCAGCCTGCGGCCTGCGATGCCACGGAAATCCCCGCTCTAGAGTTTACCTGCATGCCCGGGGCCCCGGGATCCACGCCGGTGTCAAGGACAGCGATGAGGACGCCGCGACCGTCATACTCCGGATAGCGGGCGAGGAAAGAAGCGGCCCCGGTTTCTTTTTTGGGAAGCAGCCCGTGGAGGGGAAACGGCTCTTCAGTAGAATGAGCAGCCATGACTGAAAATGACGGAGGCGAAAACAATAACAACCAGAGCGTCGGAGAGAACCGAAGGCCATTCACACAATTCACGAAATAGGGGAGGACTTTTAAAGCGACACTGCACCCGCTGTACTGCCGGCTGCAGGGCTCCTTATAAACGACCAGCGCCTAACTCGACTAAACGTTTCGTATTTTAAATTCAAAGACAAAAAATCTCATTCCATATTATAATGCTATTTCCTTATTGTTAGCTATCAAAGGAGTTATCTAATTTTTAAGAAATGTAAGTTGTTGCCTCGATACCTACCTTTACTGAAGCCCCTAAACAAAGTGCTCCCTATTAATCCGTCCCGAGGGAAAATGTTTTCGCGAATGAATTTATTTTTTATGTTAAGGCGTTAAAACTGTAGCAAACCGTATTGCTGAAATGATGGATAACGTAAATCTTCGTATACATTGTGCTTAATATTTGTAGATTTGAATTCTTCTTAAGGAAAGTCAAGCAGTAGCATATGATTATATATTAATGTAATATCCATTCATTTAATCAAAATTTCGAATATTTGTCTGACACTCCGTGTTCTAATTTGCCTGATATAGACAAATGAAGACGTAAGTCTGGTGATAAATGTCAATCATACATATTTTAACACAACTCTTTTTGCATATGAAATAATAATCATTGAGACTTATAGATGAATGCGAAAATTCAAATAGCATTTTCCTGCAGAAGCTTTTGCAAATTATTTCCAAATCCAAAGCCAACATAATTACATCAAATATAAAACAATAAAATTTAAATTATACCAATCAAACTTACCAGAAAAATCCAAGAAGGAATGTATGAAAGATGAATAAAAATACTAAAAGGTCATCGGGGGAAATTAAAAATAAAACACGTTTAGTGACTTACGGCTACTGTGTCTCTATTGCCTATTGGAATAAAAAAAAAAAAACAGCTGGGAGGTTCTCTTCACACCCAAATTAATTTGTATTGCTTCCATGGTGAACAGACAGTTTACATCACCCACAATATTATGATCCATGACTGCACGGGCACCCACAGTGAATGTTGATTTTTCACATAATATAGTAAAAAAACATATCTCAGTTGCTTAACACTGGGCCAAACACTAAATTATTTCAATGCAATGATTTTAATATTACAAAAAAGAAACAAGTAATCAGGGATGAAAACACTACAATGACATTTTTCTTGGGTCAAGTTGGTACGTTGTGTTATATGACTAATTCTGAGGGCTTTAGTTTTGTTCACTATCATCTCTTGATCTTTGTTATACAGAGAATATACAGGCTCTTGGATTAGAGACTATTTCACATTATGTCTTGATGTCTCCAACCAGCATAAATTTTCTCAAAGCCTTAAAAGCCTCTTGAAATTGGATACAAAAATGCACTTGGCTCCTTAGGCTACGAATGACGAAGTCTTGCTCATAAAACTTTTTGCATGTGGTGGTGGACAGGGCTCCAAATTCTTGTCTTATTTGCATCTTGAGTTCTCGAGGTGAGGATCGTGGAACTGTACTGACGCAGTTACCAACTCTTACCACTAGGGGACAGTAACTTGCTACTTTTTCGTCTTCCGCCTCCGCGTCTTTTTCCCCGAATCCTGTTGTCAGTGCACCACGAAACAAACGAATTCCACACCCTGGTGCAATATTCACTTCACCACACTTCACATGCAATGATTTTTTTCTACGCTTATGCATGTATCAAGTTGGTGAAAAGTGTGTTACACTCCAACTGTAATGTATGTTTGACAGAATTATAGCGTCAGTTTAGCTCCTAGTGGTCCTTAAATTGTAAATGCCAAAAATTGCTATTGTTATCAATGTTTGCGTTTTTATAGAGAAAAAACTTGTTGAATTAAGGTGGACAGCAGAACAAGATCACAGTAGTGGTATCGCTGCGAATATTTTCAAACTGCTATCAAAGGCGTGTGCTTGTATTACTGTCCATCCTGCCTAGTCACTATTTCGTTATGTTTTTTGAAGAAGTCAAAACTGCTGAATAAATAAATAAATAAACATTTTTTTTTCATGATAAATAATTCTCAGGGGGGCAGAATTTCCGGTGCGCCACAGCGAGAACGACCTACCTAACCAACTGTGAGAACAACAGAAGGCAAAGGAGTGAGAACAGATGGTGACAGGACTGTATCCCTCACCATTCGAGCTGAGAATCACTGTTTACGTGACAACAGCATCCTTTCTGCAGTAGTCTAATCGTTCACTGTGATTGTGGAGATGAGTAGTGGTCATCATACGTAATCTTTACCTACCTTTCCTGTCAGTGCTACCCCATGATACGTGGAAAGGGGACATAAACTTGAGTAAGAAACAAAATGGGCATCTTATGCTGAAAATATCTGTGGTTTTTCCCTTAGTCTGTCGTATAAATATCAGTATTTTACCATAATTCGGCTTAGGAACCTATGCACGCATATTCCTTATCTTATTTTGCTATGTTTTTCCATAAATCAAATAACTCGTGTTTGTAATCCACGCACGCGCACACACACACAGAAGTTTGTTATATCTTTATGGGGACTCTCCATTCATTTCTAGGGGGAAAACTAATCCCAACATGGCGTCTTTAAACCTCTACCCAACCCTATTCTTAACCATAAGAAACTAAATAAAACTTTTGGCATTTTCACTTTTTTATTGCATTCACAGATCATGTGGGGACCTGGAAAATGGTCCCTGGGACGTCAAAATAAGAATTCCTTGCTGTAGGCTACTACTTTCCATGTTTTACCATCATTCATAAATTGCGCGAACGTCTTCGTATCTAATCTATCATCTTGTTAACAGATTGGGTATGTTTTTCAAAGCGTGCACAAAACCTGCAGAACTTTTTGCAGCTCTTTCTGAACGCTTGACCATGTGGCAGGTTACCATGCAGCGCTCCTAAGAGCAACATCTACAGAAGGCTTTCAACTGGCAGCGCTGACTGGCGCTCAACGCGCGCCCTCGCGGTTCACCACAGGGCGTATTCATCCGTGCTTCAACCCAGATTAAAAGAGAAAAAAAACAGCGTCATTTAACTGTCTGCAGATTTAGCAAAATGTTCTGCTTTGCTACTTTTAAATGTATATCGACGTCGCCAAAATACATGAATTAAATGAAAAAATAAACATCCTGGTGAGATACAGGCACTATGTTGCTAGAGCACGCGGCTGGCGCACATTGAGAAACAATATAATTACATTTAAGGTTATTTACGTTCATGTTAATCCGTCGGCCTTGATCCAGTCATATTTAAATGCTGATGAAGAGGTTGGCCAAATATCAGGTAAACGGTTGTGTGAAATAAATAGGTTCGACGGCTTAACATGCAATTTATTGCATCTTACTAATAAATGATAATGTATGACATATAATCGTATGACAAATAAAGGAATCATCTGTACCAATGTATTCAGTTCATATAATCACTTTATATGTTTGCAGTACTTGTTTAGTACTTCATCGGCACGAATGAAATGCTCAAAATATTAACGCAGCTTCCCAAACGTGACACGGTGTATTGTATCCCCCCCCCCCAGCAACAAATGCGAGGCAGCTCCGGATTGGTTAAAAGCCGGGTGCCGTTTGACTTGCCCTATCAAGTCCTGCAGCGCTTTTATAGCGGACTCATCGATGAGCTAAACCGAAAACTCACAGCGGTGCCTCGCTGGAGGAGCCCCGCCTACTTTTGCCAGCTTTAGGGCGAGTTTCAGCAGTCAGTCTCGGCGACTCAGTGTGCGCTGGTAGGGCGCAGCGAGCTATCCGCCCTGGTGTAGAGTTGCGTCGGTGAGCTGAGTGGAGGAGCCTCTCTCTGTCCAGCAGCAAACAGAGGAGTCGGGCTTTGTGAGTATGGCGGTCGAGGAGGAAGGTCTTCGGGTATTCCAGAGTGTAAAAATCAAAATCGGTGAGTGGAAAGCCATATTCCGCCTCTTTACACTGTCGTGTCGGAAAGCATCGCTTAGACCCCGAGAGAGCGACCGAGTTCTCTCCAAGGATATTGCAATGCAGATCACATACAGATTATTGCGTTAAGGCAACGCTGGATCCCCCCAGTTGTGAGGCGTTAATCGTCGACCATGCATATATTAACCGCATCTCATGGTGCTTTAGACATAAATCGGTTAATCTGGCTGGAGGAGTGTTGGGATAAACGGATACGTTCGTGGATGCGTTGCTGGAAATTTAGTTGTGGTATGCAACGGCGCAAAATGCAGAATGGTGCACGCCGGGGCATATGTGATTCAGAGATATGCCAAGCCTGGGGAAGTGGCCGTCTTGTGCAAACAGCTGCCGGACCAGATGGCTGAGGGACTTTCTTTATCGGGCCGCTGGGGGTGGATTTTGTCGATGCTGCGCCTTTTTCCTTTCAAACGCTGGCTGATTGTCTTGACATAACGGAGCTGCTGTTCCCTCGGCCTTGGTTCGTTGGAGGTCTCCAGGGTGGGGGGGCTGTAACTTGTGTGCTTAAGACTCGTATCGTGGGAGGGGGGGAACGAAATGTCGTTTGCCGACGTCGATACTTTGATCACTGCCATCTGCGAAGCCTAATCGTTTTTGCATTCATTAGTTAAGAGTAATTACAGTGAACTTAATCCCGCTTTTCTGTGCATGCTCGTAAGGCTGTGTAGGAATCTGGTAACAAACATCGGACCTTTGATCTCCGGATAGACAGATGCAGGCATGTGAAAACGCGTGCGATTAATCCCCGGCGTACAGGCGTTGGACCGTGGAACATTTCCATCTATTCATTACAGGTTTCCTACTGTGAAGTCCCAAGAACGCATTTATTACAGGTGTCTGAACATTGCTTTGAAATTGGAAAGCGGGATACCTAAATAATACTGTAAGTGGGTTTTGTCTGGTTTTGAGTCAGGCAGTGGTTTTTGTGTGTGTGCGTGTGTGTGTCGGTTTCACTATTTTGATCTAAAAATGAATCAGATTTGAGAAATCAGTCTGCCGATGGGGGCCACCATAAAACACAGCATTCCGGATATGAAGATAACCGGCGGCAGTCGTTCTTTACGTCCGATAATGACCTGAGTTGAACCTGATGTTTAAATGCCATTACCTTTCTTTGTACTACTTGTACTGTTGACAGTAAAGAATCCCCGCAGCTCTTAGGAGAGCTTCGTCTATAGTTTTTTATTATTATTATTTTCTAGTCACCATCCCTTGTAATTTCAAATGTTTACAGGAAATTGATATTACAATTGAAACAGCGAACATGAAACTGTCACATAGTTAATAGCCCGTATAGCGTCGTGTTAGTATTACAGTGGGATATTGCAAAGACGTTAACTGTCGTTGTTGAGAGACGGCATGCAAAATATATTAGCAGATCGAAAACGAGTGTGATAAGACTGAAACATTAAAGCTGTAGTAAAGAAGTGTGGGCTAACGCTGAAAGAATCAGTACCGTGGAGAATTACGGGAGATCACAGCAAACCTCAGTAAATAATGCGTTACAGATGTGGAGGGTGACTGAAAATGATAACAGGTGATAATCTGGTCATTTCTTCAACATTGCGAGTATTTCAGTTCACCTGCCACAAAAACCAGATGCACTTTATTTCTTTCCTTCTTAAGCTGCAGTTTCCACCAGCGGGGTTTTTTCAATGATGAAATCGGGTCTTCGTGGTTTAGGATGTGAATTCATTTAGTTCCCTTTTGCGGTGCACACCTGCGCTATGCGCGTTCCCGCGGGGTCGCTGTTGAACTGGGACGCCCTCCGGAAGGCAGCGTGGCCGGCGTTGGGACATTGAGTTATTTCACACTTGAATGGCGAAACGATTGCACGACATCCGCGCACTTGTGTATTCATCACAAGGCCGAACTGTCTTAAAAACCTGTAATGTTGTCACACCGATTATCTTGAGCATGTCTTAATGAGTGCTCTGATTGTTTTCCCACGTTCTCGGCAGATGCACAAAGATACTGGTTTTAATGCCACAACAGTAATCACACATGCTGTTATTAAAGGAGACTCCATAATTATCATATGCTGAAACATTGTACCTGCATCTTCATAGTAACCATGCATATACATATTACTATTAACGCGATTGTAATCAACATAAATATTGGTCTGGCACTTTGAACTTAATTTAATTGTTAATTGAATGTGGGGTTTCGGTACAGTCACTGTTTGGAAGTCATTGCACGCTCCCCACTCATACTCTCCAAAGTCTGTCCCTTAAAAATAGCAGGCAAAACAAGTGCAAAATAAGTGAATGAAACAGCTGAGAGGTAAGAAAGAAAAAAGGACTACTGTATATACCACAATTTGCAATGCATGAACTAGGAATGGTTTATTTAATATGTGCTGGGAAAAAAGTTAAGATGAGGAATTCTGGAGTTTTATATGGAAAGCAGTATTTAGTGATCTGAACCATAAAGCCGCACGTAGCTGGCAGACTGTGGCTTTGCCATAAGTTCTGTTCTGGTGTGCCTGTGATGTTGCCCTTCTGGAAGGCCTCAGAGCCTGAGCCTCGCCTGATGCGGCGCGTGAGGCTTGGAGGGACACCGTCTCGGGTAGGCCTTGGTATGCAGATGTGCATGTCGAGTCGGACAGGGTCCAGCGCGTCAGTCTGTGTGAGGGTCGCTCTGTGAAGCGTAACGCGTGCTGTATGTTCTTCACGGTTACTCCTGACGGCCACATGTTTTAAGGGAAGCTTTGTTGGGATATGGAGGCCGGGCCTATGGACCGGAAACAGAGGAAACTTGAGACCGCCTCAAACTTCCTGATTGGCTGGATGGACTACAAAGACATTTGTCTTTTTTCTTGCTCAGCAACAGATTAATTTGAACCAGCTAGCTTCATTTTTAGGCTGGACTTGCACAAATACACGCACTGTCTGCTCTCGCGGTCTCCCTTTTGCCAACATGCCGACGTTTCCGCAGCAGCTGTTCTGTCCGAGCCTAGTGGCACGTGGAGAGGGGCTTCCTGTGCCGCTTGGAAGCAGGGGGAAGTGTGCCTTCGACGGCAGGAACGGTGTCAGAAACACTGCTGTCTCCTCCCGCTCGAAATAGTCTCACCCAGAAGCCTCATTTGTAGTCTTCCAGAAGGTCCCGAATGTTTACTCGTCCTGCTTTAAGTCACGAGAGGGGAAAACATCTGCCATTGCAGACAGTCAAAGAATTTTTTTTTTCAGTCGAACTATGCTTGTCATTATCCCATTGTGTATTCGCTGACCAGTCACCTGTATCAAAAGCAACTTAGTTAAAGTAGAAACAGCTGTCAGCTTCTTAGGTCTGGATACTGGCGTCTTAATAGTACAAGGTTTAGAGTTCAGTGCTAAAAATAACCATCATGTCTGTCCGAGGCACAATTTCTTTAACCAAAAATCAATCCTTTTTCTCTACAGCAGGGTAATGATTGGATCTTCAGGCATTTCCCTTTGTGTAACTGTGAAAGTGGTTGGTGTGTTAATGCCTGTTTATGAGTATTTTTGGACAATGATACAGTCTTAACTGACAGAGAGGGCCGTCTGTGCTGCAGTGGCGTCAGCACAATGGCTGGCAGATTGGCATTTTCTGCACTGTGAAGGGACATAATGAGGATCTTGGCTGTTTTACAGTGTGGTTCGTGAAAGACGAGGGCATCTTTCGCCAGTGGGTTTGATGCCCTCTTTGTGAATGCCGGCTGTAAAAAGACTTGTGCCCTGTAACCCCCAAAAGAACTTTCAGTTCTCACAGTGACTAAGGCGCATAGGAACGTGCCACAGTTCGGCGGTGTCCTGAACACACCCCCACGCGATGATGTGCTCGACTCCGCCCCCCCCCCCTTTACCCACAGCTCATTTTACTGCTAATGACCTACTTTGCCTGCTGATTTGGGTAGTCACCTTATTAGCTTCATTCTATGTTGAAACGTCTAGTTTAGCTCTTGCTACTATACTGCTGAGGCTCGGCATCCATTGGAAGCTCAGCCTTGCAGCACTTATGCGGTTCACCATGTTTGTAATGTGCTCCTTGCCTCACTTTGGACAGAAGTGTCTGCTACACAAAGTAAATGCAAATGTAATGACCCACCCCTCCCACATTACGATGTGTCTGTTTATACCCCTCTGGCGCCTGATGTAATCAGCTTTAAGAAGTGGTTTTGTGTACATTTGGAAGCGGCTTGCTCCTCATTGGGTTAGCGCTCTGTGCCCGTACTCAGAAGGTCACCGATTCAAATCCCAGCATCGGCAGAATGATGTCATCGTCGGGCCCTTGAGCGGGGCCCTTAAACCCCCAATTGCTCCAGGGACCGGCTGACCCTACTTTCCCAGCCATACGGCGCTTTGGAAAAAAAAGTGTTTGCTAAATAAACAAACAGTAAATGAGCATGTGAGCATTTCCCGAAGCTATTCCTTCGAGCCGATCGCGAGTGAAAAGAAAGGAAGGGAATGAGTCAGCAGGCGGATGGTTAGTGGCTGGGTAGGTAACCAACCCTCGGTAATTAACTAGCCGTGCCTTGACTAACGATCGCTGTCCGCAGCTGACTGCTAACGTGTCCCCCACCCCCCCCTTCCCTCCCAGAAGGGGCAGCAGTTGTGAATTATGTGATCTGACAGTGCGCTGAGCCGCAGATCCTGTGTCGGCGTCGGTGCGGAGACGAGGCCTCGTGAGAGGATACGGCTCTCCAGGGTGTTTTGCCGGTGAATCCGCACTTTGCCGCGGTGGCCATTCGGGATCTGTGCTGTCAGGGTTTTTCTGAGTCACCCGCATGCATCCGGCCTGCCGTGTCTTGGTAATGAGCTTCCCGCTAGAGCTACCCGTCTCTCTCTCGTGGTGCCTAGCAGGCCAGGTGTTCCGTTTCGCTCCCCACCAAACTGCAGGCCTGTCAGGGACGCATTCATCCTTCAGCCTCTTCCTGCGGGGGAGTGTCTTAACAGCCTCCCCCACCCCCCACCCCTCTCT